AGGCTTTATAGAAAGGGATAATGACAAAACTATCTAGGTTGCAATTCAGCATCTGGTTAGAACAGCTGTTATTTCTTCTTTTCAAAGCTCCATAGTCTCATTTTTGTTCAGCAAAGTCAGTGGTTGTTGGAACACTATCTAACTAGAGAATGCAATTCCTGAAGAAATTGCTACTGGGAATGCTTTATGCTGAAAAGCTGATGCTAAACTGCTATGCTGAAATGTAATGTGTAAGAAGAAAGTGAAGAATTTAGATTGAAATGATACATGAACACTGGGGGCTTGAATGTGTGATAAAAGAAGAAAAGAAAGTAAAAAGGCTTGGAAAAGCAGCAGAATATTTGAACTGCAAATTTCTGAACTGACTTGATGGCGAATGATCTGTCGCCATGGCAACGGCATTTGGTGACACCCCATACGCTTAGATGCTTTGATGGCTGCATCGTTACCAAACCTGTGAAGTTCTGGGCTGTTTGGAGTATTTTCACTGAAGTTATGAGAAAACCGTCTTTCAAGGCGAGCATTGTGTTGCCATGGCAACGGCATTTGAAGAAATCTCCAAACTGTCCCGTAGATGTCTTCACGGCTGGACTGTTAGCACACTGCTATCTGAAGTCTGCTGCTCTGAGCATGTCAGTTGGAGTGATGACATCATCGTGTTCCATTACACAGGTGTTTATATTCAGGGGTGCACATAACTTTTTTGCCCTGGTTCTCAAAGGAGCACCTGGAGATGTTGCTTGGTGTTCATCCTTAAAATGAAATAAACCGTAACTTTTGAGGGGGGTCTTGACTTTATTTGCCAGACACACGGCACTGAACACACGTGCAGAGGTGAACACAGAACACACATGCAACATTAGCACGACAAGTAATCCTACAAGCTGTCATCACTACCCTCCTGACTGTCAGACATGATGATGTAGGCCTACTTCTTTCTCTCTGGTTGAGTCTGCGATTATCTGCTTGCATCCACAAGTCAACAGCTAGTTTTGGGTCGAAAGTCTCTGTTGTCATCCTAGACAAGTGGATGTAATCAAATAAGTATGTGAACTTAACCAATAACCTACAATAAATGAATGTAACTTATTTTATTTGTGTTGTTCAAAAATCATTACATCACATTGCATTTAGCTGACGCTTTTATCCAAAGCGAAGGTTGTATCTTCCTGGTCGAATGTACTTACTGTAAAGTACATTCGACCAGTTGGAGTCGAAAGAGATGAGTTTTCAGTCTCTTGACTCTCTTGTTCATTCATATCTTATTTTACCTTAACATTTATTTATGCATTTTTTTTTATCTCTCCAGTTTTAAAGGATATTTTTTTGGTTACTGTCCTATAGTATACATTGGAATTATATCAAACCTGTTCATCCCAATAATTATAAAGGAGTGCTTTGGAAATATGTGTTTACATAAATTGTGACCAAACCGTTTGAACTTAGACTAAAGTTAACTATCAAACACTCAAGAGTCCTTACATCACTGAGCTGTAGTTATCAGCCTCTCAGTCTGACTGGAGAGGACTCTCCTCCACATTATTGTAGAAACATCTTCTTCTTATATCCGTTAAGCAGCTAGCACCAGATTCTAATAACAACAGCCAAAGCCAAAGGTGCCATAATACGCCCGTATGTTCGTCCGTAGTTTCGCACCAACTTACGGGGAGGCNTCTGTCAGACATGGTAGCTGATGATGTAGGCCTACTACTTTCTCTCTGGTTGAGTCTGCGATTAGCTGCTTGCATCCACAAGTCAACAGCTGGTTTTGGCCCAAAACCAGCTGTTGACTTGTGGATGCAAGCAGCTAATCGCAGACTCAACCAGAGAGAAAGTAGTAGGCCTACATCATCAGCTACCATGTCTGACAGAGAGGAAGAGAGTGAGGAGAACAGTCATGAGAACAGTCAGGAGAACAGTCAGGAGGGTAGTGATGACAGCTTGTAGGATTACTGGTCGTGCTAATGATGTCTTGTGTTCACCTCTGCATGTGTGTTCTGTGTTCACCTCTGTGTGTGTGTTCAGTGCCGTGTGTCTGGAAAATAAAGACCCCCTCAAAAGTTACGGTTTATTTCATTTTAAGGATGAACACCAAGCAACATCTCCAGGTGCTCCTTTGAGAACCAGGGCAACAAAGTTATGTGCACCCCTGATAATAAGAGCTCATAATGCTGTTAAACAACCTTGCACCACATTAAAGTGGACAGTTGAGATGTTGCTGTAGTCTTGTAGGTTCAGTGCAGTCACTTCTGTGCTGAAGAGCATCACAGACAAATGGTCCTCCTCTCTGTCTGCAGAAACTGGCCAACTCTAAAGCACATACCTCAAGATTCATCAGTGCCAACCTGCCGTGCAACAAATTCAAGAACCGGCTAGTGAACATAATGCCTTTCGAGTCCACCCGTGTCTGCCTGCAGCCAATCAGAGGGGTGGAGGGCTCAGACTACATCAACGCCAGCTTCATCGACGGATACAGGTGGGTCCAGCGAATTTCACTGTGTGACACCAAAAGAGGAAGGACTGCAATAAATAGCAAAAGTAACAAGATGTGCTTGGTGAATAAATGTGTAGGTGGAGCTTTTCTCTGGCAGCTGACAGCAGTAATATACAGGCTGTTTCACTGCCCACCATCTTGCTTTTGTGTCAGTTGTCTAAACAAATTAGTGTTATTGACAGGGCCTGTTTTTCCTCTCCGGTTTTTCCTCAAGCCTGTTTGAGATAAGTGACATATAAGAGAAACAATATTCTTGCAATGCTGCTCTTGTCTGTGTCGGAAAACATTTGTCACCCATGGGCCTCAGGCCACAGGCATCCATTTATCCCTCTGTGAAAAGTGATATTTTGTTTAAGTTCATTACAAATGTATGAGTGAAAACTGCATTGCAAACCAATTTAGTGTTACATAACCATTACAACCGGACCTTAAACGAAGGAATATAAAGCAAAATAATGTATTTACCCATATCGGTAGTGCAGAGTTTAACCAAGTTCATTGGTTTGGTTTGGTTTGGTTTGGTTTGGTCAAGTTTTTTTGATCTGGGTTTTAGTTAATTCTGTTTTGCACATTACAGAAGAAGAATATCCATTTCCATTAATGTTTTCATATTTTATAGCTTTTTCTAGAAATGTGATACTGTAATCAATAATGTAATTGTATTAATATTATATTATTTTGATACATATGTATATTGCTTCGAAAACAACCCCTTCAAACTAGGATCAATGAAACCTGATTCCATTAAAGTTAGTTCTAGCTGCAAACTTTGAGCTGGTAGCGCTTAGCTGTTAGCTGCTAGCTGCTAGCTGCTAGCTGTTAGCTGCTAGCTGTTAACTGCTAGCTGCTAGCTGTTAACTGCTAGCTGCTAGCTGTTAACTGCTAGCTGCTAGCTGTTAACTGCTAGCTGCTAGCTGTTAACTGCTAGCTGCTCTGTGACTTTCTTGAATTTCCTAGCAGGACGATGCTGCCCTGATAGCTGCAACGTTTTTCCCATGTTGGGAATAAAATATTCTTGAGCCCCCCAGTAGGCTACCTGACTGCATGGTCACCAAAGTATTTGTACTTTTGACTATGATAGTTCATTGGACTTTTTGAGAGCAACAAATAAGTCTACCAACAAAGCTTACATATTAACACATATCTAACACATAAAGAAGGAAACAAATTGTAAATAACTAAATAGTTCTGCTGGAACAACTATTGACATGTATCTATCAGCCAAGTATAGCGTTTCCAACCACAGTGCTGTTTGTCAGATGGAATCAGCACAGCTTTTAGTGTTGCTCTCTGTGGAGTCCCTGGCATCTTCACAGCACCTGGCTGTTGTCTTCAAATGAACAGTCCCCACACATATACCTCTACAGAGGACTACAGATGTTTTTATTTGTGAACAGGATTCTCCTGCTTTTGATGGAGACCATTGTCATATGCACATTAGAAAAAGAAGACAATTAAAACACTATTAACTGTAGTTAACCAATTGTCATAAACCAATAATTAATTAAAAAGGCCTCTGTGGGTGTCAACACACATTTCTGACAGCTACATAAAGCAAGCCTTCCTGAGATTCTAATAACAGAACCAAACATATTAGATGTCAGCACTCGTATTGTTGTCAGATAAACAGACAATCACAGGCCTCTGAGAGAAGCATTTCTTCTTGGAAACTGTAAACAGTAATTGAAAATACTTCTCAGTGCGCCAGCATGTACTAATAAATCAGGACTTCCCCTTTCACTTGCAGTGAAGGTGGGTGTGTTAGCCCCTAATGAAGTCCTCTGGGCAACCCCTAAGGAGGACGGGGAAACAGGCAGGGATGTCCTGTTATCCTGTTGCAGTAATGAACAGGGAAGCGAGATGCAGAGCGATCCAGCAGTCTCTGAGCTGAGCCTTTGAAGTGCACAGTTTGGATTAGGGGGGATTAAGGTGAGGGGGATAGACATGATAATGATGATTAGTGGAGATTCCCACTGACCTCAAGGTATGGAGACCTCAGCTGTAGTCATTCAGCTCAGTGCCTGTCCACAAGCTGCAGGCTTACACCAGTATCTCATTACCGAATCAGAGAATACTACAAAAAATTTTAAAAAATGGTTTTATTATTATTTTAATCAATCCCCCCACAGATATAGCAACATTATTTGGTTAAAACGGTTTAAACTTCTTGGGGCTCTGTTTTTACATACCGTATTGAAATTCACACCTGACAGAAATAATAAAGACAATACACAGATGTAAACAATGTGTGGCATGTAGACACACAGATTTCAGGGAAACACACATACTGTACAGGGATCTCAGAGGTTGGATACCTTACACAGGTGAGGGAGAACAGAAATGATGAAAAGCAGTATAATAACCAGGAGAAGGCATTAGAAATTCACTGAGGCATTGAAAGGACGTCAGGTCACAGTGCTGTCTGCTGTGCAATTTGGAAGGTAGTTCAGAAAAGACTTCTCTTATCTAGAGGCCTCTTGTCCCCTTCAGGATTCAGCTCGAGCAGTCCATCTGAAAAATAAAACAACATTCTGAATACCACTGGTGAACAGTGGGAGATCTGTGCTTAATCCACTTAAATAAAAGATAATCTCTTGCCAATAGAAGAAGCTTCCTCATTTTTCAATTTTGTTTGCCTCATAGATCAGGCAGAACAGCATATCAATAAAATATCAAAGAGCAGTGACAACCACAGAGTATGTAAGACCCCACCTCTCTCTTACACTTAATGCAGAGTGGAGAGATCCAGTGATGGAAAGAATTAAGGGGGTGGGAGGCCAGTTGCAATTTCTGAAGAATCTGTTACTGGATCCCTGTTTGCATTTTGCATGAAAATACTTCCCCAATCGACTCGACTCAGACTTCCCGGCTGCTCTTTAACAGGCGAGCTGTTTGTTTGCTGGAATGCACAGAGGTTTAAAATCAATGCTCATATTAAACTTCTACATCTGACCTTATATAAACTCTTCATAAAATCATTCAGTGACAGCAAAATACCCTAGCGTTGGTTCCTAAGTCATATTTCTTTCTTGTTGCTTTTAAATGAATGATTTAAAAAATAGTCCATGTGCCCAGACTCTCAACCTTAAACAACCGCAAGCCATCACTGGCACACCCCTATGATAGGAGGACGGATGAACACAGATAACAGAACACAAATAATGTGTGCTGCTTCAAGTGAACAGGCACAATAGAGTTACCCTCTTCCTCTGCTGCATGCTTCAGCACTGCCACCTACTGGGCATGTCCTTTTACTGCGGGACTGTCAGCCCCCAGCCCTGCTGAGCAGCTGGGAGAACATCTGTCATTTTCAGTTCTGTTGAAAAGGTCTGTGTTAAAGTAAAAACATTTAAATATCAGCACAAATATAATACACTCAAAGGAGTTGTGTATATTGAAATGTTAACAATAGAAAGATTCATTCCCCAGTCGTGGCATGACGTGTGTGTGAGGTCTATGGGTTAGTTGCATTTACATCTTTTGATTAATTGCACGTTTAAAAAAAGAATATGCACTACTAAAGTACATGATTAATTGATATGATAATTATATGTAAGTGGAACTGCTGTGGAGATGTGTTTCTGGGTGTAGCCCCCTGTTTCCTTTTCACAGCACAGAGACTCATATGCACAGAGCCCTGCGAAAGGTTTGACAGTATTTCGCTGATCAATAGGTGGTATTATTACACCAGGCAAGGCAAGAATGTGCCATAAACAAGTTGGCAGCTTTGAAAAAGTCTTTTGAAGAAAGCATTTGGGCTTGAGGATGCAACAGCACAACTTTTGGCTCTTTACGATAAAACTCCACAGGGCCATGCATATGGACTCAATTTATGTGGTGTTTTTTTATCAATAGCACTATATAAATTGTATTTTAATTTCCCCATTCATAGTTGAATAACCTCGGTGGCAAACAGAAAGGTTCATTCTTTTATTATTTTCGATAATGTTGTGTTTAAATGGTGCCAAGTTTGCATTTAATTAAATGATCACTAAGTAATGGATTCAACAGCAAAGCTAGTTTATTCAATGGTAAGGATACTGCTGCATAAGGATGCCATATGTATTCTGTCACGTTCATTGTATTGATAGGTGCTTGGCAACAGTGGCAGCTTTTAATAGGCTTGGCCACTCATTTTGAAAACCCATCTATGACAATTAGGCATGTTGGAGCCTCAGATTGGTGCTAGTCAAATCTGGCAACATTTACAAATAGCAGGAGGAAAGGGTGACAATAGGAGCCCCTCTAGCATGTATGTCAACAACAAAACAAATTCAATCACAGCCTGTGCAAAACAAACTAAACTGATGTGTATTTATTCAAGCTGTTTATAGGTGTTTATGATGACACATGACTGGCGACCATAATTCTTCACAATGACTAAAGCTTTGTGGTTGAAGAGCGATAAAGTGGAAATGAAATTGATTAAACTCAGATGTGTCTTTGTTCCACTTGCAGGCAGCAGAAAGCCTACATGGCCACGCAGGGCCCGCTGTCTGAGACCACAGAGGACTTCTGGAGAATGCTGTGGGAACACAACTCCACCATCGTCGTCATGCTCACCAAACTCCGCGAGATGGGACGGGTAACACATCACTATTATATATCTTATGTTATCTCGTGTCATTTGCTATGCAAAAGCATTACCGGTACATTTAATTTACTCAAATTAAACCCTTAAATTATATATATTGAAAATACTCATTTTAGAGATACTACACTTCTGATTAAAAAAAGAAAGTTGTGTGAGATTGAATTAACTTTTAGAGGGACAACCAGGCACCAGATATACAAATGTGATTACATTTGAAAATAAATTAAGTTTAACTAATTCTAATTTGGTTCAATTCTTTTTTTTTATCACGATTGACCATGATCTTTTGGGGGGACATAAAATACTTCTATCTGTTTTAACTTCGTAGAGAAGAATACTCAATTGTACATACTGGCAGTATACTGTACAAAATCTAATTTCATGTATAATCAAAAGTATGTCTTAATCTGGTAATGATATTTATGATGTGTTTAGTACCACTTAACAGTGATATTTCCATACTTGGTGCAGGTGACTTTGATGTTTTCTGACAATATGAAATTATAATTAAATATATTAAAGTCGTTTTTACTCACTAATGATAGGGTTTTTAGGATGTACTGTGTATACATTCTAATTATATTACCCAATATATTCAGAACAAATAATAACTTGTTATCGATTTAAGTGGTTTTATGTTGGCTAATCCATTGTAAAAACTGTATGTAATTAGCTACAAATAAATTCTGGCATAAATAATCTCTATTTAGATTATTTTATATGCATTATCCTTGTTGAATAAATGAAGACATAGTCCGATGTCCTGATTATATCCTAATAACATTCCTCACATGTGATCTCCTCTCCATCCTGTAGGAAAAGTGCCATCAGTACTGGCCTGCTGAGCGCTCGGCACGCTATCAGTACTTTGTTGTGGACCCCATGGCTGAGTACAACATGCCTCAGTACATCCTGAGAGAGTTCAAAGTCACAGACGCCAGGGTAGGTTCTCCTCAGCAGAGCTTTGGTGAGGAGTGAGACAGCAGCAGGAACATGGCTTCAGCTCAGCTCCTTTTAATTGGAACGGACATGAATGCCACATAGAGCGCTGCTTTTACAGAAGTTGATTCTTGCTGCATTTCTTTCACTTTCTTCCAAATTATTTTAGTTATTTTTTTCCTTGTTACTTTTCTCTCAACTTTACTTAAAGGTCCCCTATTATACTGTTTTTCATCAATATATTATAGGTCTCAGATATATACAAAACATGTCTCAGAAGTGCTGATTCTCTCTCTCTTTTACTTTAGAAGAAAATAAGGAGCCACTCCCCCTATGATATTTGATTAAAAAAATAGCTCTAGGAGGAGATTCAGGTGATAAGGTGGGCAGGGTTACCTTGATTGGTGATTGGCTAATGGTTACACAAGCCAAAAACTATCGTTCCAAAACATCGTTATGACATCATAAAGTGGCCAAAATCTGTTCAGCTCATTTTCAGACAGGTTTTTATATAAATGGATCAGGACAAAAAGAGAGGGGGTCTTTTTTCTTGAAACTTCCAGAATCTCTTTACACAGAGGGGACACATGTTGATGTATAAAAGACATGAAAAAGTGGATTTTGCATAATAGGTGACCTTTAAGAAGACAGATATGGAGATTGTAGCGGTTGTATACGCAGCAGAGGTGTCCCCTAGAGGAGGATGTAGACTGTGAGTTACTGACATAGTCTTTCTCCATGTCCTCCTGTGTGTTCCTCAGGACGGTCAGTCCAGGACTATCAGGCAGTTCCAGTTCACTGACTGGCCAGAGCAAGGAGTGCCAAAAACTGGGGAGGGCTTTATCGACTTCATCGGCCAAGTCCATAAAACAAAAGAGCAATTTGGACAAGATGGACCAATTACTGTGCACTGCAGGTAACCTCTCATTCTAAAATCGAATTACATGTATTGGCTTTTCTAGGGCCGCTGTCAATCAACTTATATTTGTATCCTGTTAGTTTTAAAAATGCACAAAAGGCTTTTTTCTGTTCTTTGTTATGAATTACCACTTGAAGAAGATGTGAACAAGTCCCTAGATACATGCAGGGACCAGGCGCAGAAATGTACGGTGGCGCAGAAAGGAAGAAACATGCAACAAGAGCAAAAACAATCAAATAAAGAAACATCTTCCCCCTGTTGACATAAGTGATGCTGTTAATGCGGATTATTTATTAAGATATTTTTCTAATTCAATCACTTGACAAAGTCATCTTGTTTTTCTATTTATTGTTGTCTCTATCAAAAGCATAATGTGTTGTGTTCATAAAATGAGGGTCTGATGATGTGCCTGTCCACCAGTGCTGGTGTTGGGCGGACTGGTGTGTTCATCACCCTGAGCATAATCCTGGAGAGGATGAGGTACGAAGGAGCGGTCGACCTCTTCCAGACCGTCAAGACGCTCCGGACACAGAGGCCGGCCATGGTGCAGACAGAGGTATACATCGTATTTATTATTTAGTCAAAAGGTTGTATAGTATTGTTAATTCTGGGGATCCATTTCTAGGTTGTGTTTTCATATCTTGCCAACACACAATATATATATCAAGAGTTCATGGATGACTTTAACTCTCCCGGTAGAAAATGTGAATGCCATTTGTCCTTTTTAGAATTGAGTTGTGGACATAAATCTCTTGTGGCTAAAATTATTATTACATTATTACGTTTCTTTTTTATCCTCTGTCTGAAACGAGAGCCCAGTCGGATTAGAGATGTCCCACCCCTTAGCCTATCACAATGTGTTGGAGCACTAGCCATTAGAAGCATGTTTCATCTTATGTTAGGGAAGTTAGCAAAGGATTCAATCATGGCGTTTCAGGCAAATGGGGAATAGGTGGTTGAGAAACTCAATCTTTGGTCCATTTTGCCATTGCAGACCATTTACATGCACAAAAACCTATATACCGTAACACACTAAAGGAAAGGGAATCCCCAAAAAGTATAATCTGGCCTCTTAAAATTGTAACACGAGAGAAAAACTATTTAGATCAGACTTAGAAAATTGATCACCCAAATTGTTTGTTCTGGCTTGTTTCTCATGGCATCTGCAGCTTTCCCACTGACTAAGTGACCCAAACTTATTTTTACTCCACCAGGACCAGTACCAACTGTGCTACCGCGCTGCTCTGGAGTACCTGGGAAGCTTTGATCACTATGCAACATAACCCCAAGAGTTATACCTCTCCTCTGAGCCATATCTACTCAGCTCCATCAGTCCCTGAAGCCTGATGAGGACGCTACAAGGAGGACTGGAGAAGAGGTGACTACAGCAGGAAACAGGAGACATTAGAGGACAGAGGAGAGGGGACAGTCAGGACAATCTCCTCCTGCCATGATTCTGCCACAGACCCAACACCAAAACTTCCCCAAAACTACCCTGAGAGACTCTTTGCCATGCCTCATTCCTGACTGATTTCTCCCAACATTTCCCAACATCTGCGTCCTCCTTTATGGCAAAACAAATGTTCTGCTATTTTCATTTATTTTCATCATTACTATGTTATTATAAATATTTAGAATTTATTTTATAATCATTTAAACTGGCTATTATATATGTGTTAATGGGTCTTTTTTTTTATTTGCTGATATATTTTTATTCCTTTCATTTGCAAAAATAAAATGTATTTTCAACATTAATATTGGAGAGCGTATACTCACAGCTGCTAATCATTTTATTTTGTACCATAGATATAATATTCTTATGTTATCATTGATCTTATTTACGGGGGTTTGACAGAACAATCTACCAAAAGAGGTCAGATTAACAGATATGTTTGTGAGCTACTGTATGAAATATAACTATTGCCATAAACTGACTATTATCAAATAACTGTTTACTGATTTTCACAACGCCAATACAAATCTGGAGACTTGGAACAAATATAAATATGAAGTTGTTGGAAAAGGTTGTTGACACCATAGCCCCTCTTGACACAGACTCAGGTAGACTGAACACAGACACTTTGTTCTTGATAACGTGTGTGATATAAGTGTGACCACATCACATTCTAAACCAGCCCGTGCTTAGACAAGAGAAATCCAACAAATCCATTATGGCACCAATATCAAGACTCAATGCTGAAATGTAATCAAAATGGTTTAGTTTCTGTTCTATAACTGATCATTCAAAACAGGTGGAACTAATGCGGTTTTGGGGCAGTATTTTCATCAGCAGATTCCCATGTGGTGCTCTAGTGAGTATTTGTGGCAGCAGGACAGTGTGTGTGTTCACGGTAAAAAAAGAACATGACAGTGTGACTTATTGGTGTGTTTTATTAGTTTTTGGAAAACAATGGAGCTCTACAGCCCACCGGAAGAGGATACATCCGGCACTCACACAATTCTTCATAGTAAGATCACTTCATTGTTGGTGTTGGGTTGTCTGTGCATTGGATTTGTTGAAAAGGCTCTAAATTAAAAAAATTAAAAACTGTTGATCTAAAACCCAACACAGATCACAGCCTAATATTAAAGCTTCAACAGTCGACTGGGAGTAAATATAGATGTTTGGGGGGATTATTAAATCAAATAGGAAATCAGGAGATTGTGAAGTATCACAAAAAACACATTTTCTCCCCTACCCTTTGATTGCCACAAATTAGCTGGGTGTGTCTTACTTGCTCTAACATGCAATCTGGTTCCGGTTGATGGACCCAAAATGATTCTTATAGACAGGACAACACTTTCCCTTTCATCTCATGACCTTCACATACATGGCTCAAACCAACAGGACACAAGCAGATACACTGGAACCCCATTAATGGTATATTTCATCCCAACGTGTATCACTGTGTTGCAGACGGACAGACTGAAAGAAGAAGTAATGTTCAGTGTTTTTCACTGGATGAGATGACAGAGTTGGGGGTGGAGGAAGTGGACCATATAAAGGATTTATTTCACTGAGTTGTGCTCTAGGGATCCTATCTGTTGTATACACGATCTGTTTTCTATTTGGTAATAAAAAGCAGACACAAATGTCTTGAAAACCTTGATGTTAATAAAGTTGAATAACTGTTTTTTTAATAATGCAAATGTGTTGGACTTTCTTTCTTTCGTAGAGCGTGATAATGTGGTGTGAGGTGACGCCCTCTGCATTTTTTTCCATTCATTAAGACATTTGACTTAGTGAAAGTTGATTATCAGGAGTTTACATTTATTAATTCTTTAATTTGTCTTGTTTGAGGTTTGCAAGAACAACTATTTATTGAGTAAGTTCAAGGGGACCTATCATGCAAAATGCACTCTTGTATGTCTTTTATACATGAATATGTGTCCCCGCTGTGTCAGGGAACTCACCAAGTGTCAGAAAACACAACCCTCTCTCTTTTCCTCCATACCCAAATCTCTAAAAACGGGGCTGCAACGGATCTGATACAGACTGATACAGATTTGAAATATCTCTGACGTCAGAAACAAGGAGCTCCGCCTATATGGGCAACTCTGCCGTGGCATGGTAACAGCATGGTAACATGACGCTCGTGCCTCGCCCCCCTCCTTTGCTGGGGGGCGTGGTCAGCTGCAGCTCATTTGCCACAGAATCAGCCCTTGCAAAAACAGGGCTGGAATGCAGCAAATAGAGCGAAATGAGGCATGGCTCAAATGCATGATCTGTTTGGTATTTTGAAAAGAAAGCTTCACAGACATGTTTTATATAGGTATGGCCCTACAATATATTATTCAAATATAGCATGAAGGTTTACAAGAAATCCTTTAGAAGTAGGCCTATATATAAATCTGCAAGAATACATATTTGTATCATATAAATGAGGAAAGTAGTAAAACCTTGCCAAAAATACTCTATTGTTATTGAACTATTTAAACTGTACGGTTGTAAATATTGTAATTTTCGAAAAAAACTATATTGTGTTTGGCTGTAAAAAGAGGACTTGACTTAAACTAGACCACCTTAGGGAGAAATAATTCAAAGAACAATGCTTCTGCATATGATTAATTTCGATATTTTAATCGAATTTTAAACAAATTGCTTGATACAACATGTATTATGGTTTTTAGAACTGGCCTGGATAGCTGTATTCACAAATAACTATCACAGTAGAATAATGTTTTCCTTAATAATAATAATAATAATAATAATAATAATTAATTACATTTTTTTATTAGAGCACTTTTCAAAGCACTCAAAGTGCTTTACAATTACACATTACACATAATATACATGTAACAGTTATTACTGTGTGTGGACAATACCCACAGGACAGGAGCAAATTAGGGTCAAGTGGACACACTACAAGGACACAACCTTGTAGTGTGTTATAGTATGATAGGGCTCATACGCAAATCATTTGACTTAGGAAATGTATGCAGTCAATATTGTTTAATTTCTGACAGACTGACAATGATGCAGGCATGGTTTGGAGGAGAGGCGTTGTGATTGGCTGGGGACTACGGAAGCCCCTCCCGCTGGGCTCCATGTAAACAATCACACACTGGGCATGCGTCACTGGAATAATGGAGGACTGTCTTTTCCACCCGGACTTATGCTGTCTGTATTTCTACTCTACTACCTTTCTTTTTTAAGAAAAACAACTCGTGTACATTTCAGCACGTGTAAGTTAATGTTTGACACTTTAAAATGAGTTGCTTTGTAGGAAAGTATTAGTAACTTTAAGTTTAGCCACAGTAAAGTGACGGTCAGCAACAAGCCATGTTTGCTAGTTTGCTAACGGAGAGCGAAGGCAGCTGTCAGATCTCTCAGTCCGCTACACACTTTGCGGCTGCTTCTGTTTCCATAAATGGTTATGTGAATAGACATAACACCCAGCATTGTATACTAATGTTTATTTATTAATATGGCAGTGGTTTGTTTTTGTTTCACCCCTCTTTTAATTCTTAAGACGCAGAGCAAGCTATCTTGCAGTTAGCATGTAGGCTAGTGCAGTAACGTTAGCAATATATTTTTCGGAGGAACAGCGCTGTCAGTGGGCCACGGTGTGAGACGGACATGGTTTTCAACCAATCACAGGCTGAGAATTGCAATCAATTATGGTTGTTCACAGTGGCTCAGTGTGCGTAACCCCGAAGTATTCTGGGTTTTGCTAGTAAAGTCAGTAAATACAGAGTTTAGAGTATATTTGCCTGTAAGTTAAACATCTTCTCAGTTAGTCCGCTCTCTACGAAAATACTCTTGTGATGTAGGTTAAGTTGGAGATCAGCGTTTAGTAGCATAGAGGCCAAGAGGGAACCTAGGATAATGAAAAAAAGGAAGTGGAAAAAACTATTTTGGATAAAGGTTGAAACCATATTTAGGGTTTGCTTGCTTAATCGGTTCAGGTTTTAAGAATGCTGCAATATTGTTGAAGTTGTGTTTATTTGTATGTAGTATAATCTATCTTGGTTAACATCCTATATTTACATGTTTTTTAGTTGTAGCTTATCATTTCTTTGCATTACCTCACATAATAGAAGTGTCACATATCTGACAAGGAGCTTTGGAACTGTAATTATGATATATGGTACTGTTTCAATCACTTTTGGAGTTTTACCAACAAAGAGTCAATACATACAGTATGATCCATTAGCTGATGGTCTGTTACTCTCAAGTGATGGAACATTAAAGGAAGCCAGATTCTGTGAATCATGTGACTTTAAGTCATGTGACCTAGATGTCGTCATGGTGATCATGTCCATGTTTTCCTCCATACAGAGTTGAGGTCGGAGTAAAATGCCTAAGATGACTACAGACAAGCCTGCCCAAAGTGTGGGCTCCAGGATAATGACGTTCTCCCCCTCCAAAGAGGAGTTCAAGGACTTCCGCCGGTACATCGCCTATATGGAGTCACAAGGAGCACACAAAGCTGGAATGGCGAAAGTAAGAAGAGTCTATTGTATTTTTGTATGTAATTATGATCGATACAATGTTATAGTGGCTCGTTATTCAATGTATTTAGTTCCTAGGCTTCTCTGAATGGTTATCTTAGTTCTGACTTTTTGTAAAGACCCAATGTACTCACCGGAGTGATCTTCTTTGAAAGTCAATTGTGTTATTACTGCAGGTTATTTCCATCCAGAACGCATCTCCTGTGGTCCACTACTCACTTGATTATTCAATACTACAAAACTGCATAAAGTAACTCAAATACATCACTTACTAACATGGGACAAAACTGACTTTGATCCTGACTTGCAGACTTCCACCATTTCACTGGCGTAAAGCAGTTGAACTGTGCTGGACAAACCCCCTTCTCCTAAAAATGACGTTCCCACAGAACTAAACTGCATTCTCAATTACGTTTAGCTAGAAACGTATTTTCTCCCACGTGACGTTCGTTATGAACGTATCTTAAATACGTTTATTTTCTACATTTCTTCTAGAAACATATTTTCTCCCACGTTACGTTTCTTATGAACGTATCTTAAATACGTTTATTTTCTACATATCTTTGCCATGTATTGTCTTGCTTATAATAATGATAATAGTCATTTATAAATATCAGTTTAGAGCACACATTTGAAATCAGTATGCGAGGCTGTAATTTCGCCAGCTGTTACTCTCATGAGCGAGGCAGAAAATAATAGTTTTAACATGCCAAAAAGCTGCTTTCGTTTATTGCACCTCAAACATTAAAACAAATCCAGAGTTACGTGTTTCTCACTGAAAATCCTACCCTGGCAGAATCGCGTTTTTTCTGTAGGGTCTAATTGACAGAATCCTCACTCTGCTGCTCTGAGTACACTTATCTGTTTTCATTCCGTTTGCCTTGTATTTATCTTGCAGGTAATTCCACCTAAAGGCTGGAAACCTCGAAAAACATATGATGACATCGATGACCTGGTGATACCTGCTCCCATTCAGCAGGTAGTGACAGGCCAGTCCGGACTGTTCACACAGTACAACATCCAGAAGAAGCCAATGACCGTCCATGAGTTCCGCAAGACATCCAACATGGACAAGTCAGTTCAAGTAGTAATAATAAAACACAGTCGATCGAGTGATGTTTTTACCACAATAACTATAATACTATAATGTGGAAAACCTGGCATAGTATGGTATTTGGATAAGCAACCAAGCTCTCCTCTCATTGTAGGTTCTGCAATCCTCGATATGTGGATGTTGATGAGCTGGAGAGGAAGTTTTGGAAGAACCTGACCTTCAACCCCCCCCTTTACGGTGCTGATGTCAGCGGAACACTGTATGATCCAGTGAGTGGTAATAGTTGATAATGCCATTTCATTTTGACAGTATCAGTGTCACTGTCGTTACGATTAACGGCCTCTTAATCTGTCCTTTACAGGATGTGACTGAGTGGAACATCGGCCGCCTCAACACCATTCTGGACACGGTAGAGAACGAGAGTGGGATCAAGATCAAAGGAGTGAACACACCGTACCTCTATTTTGGGATGTGGAAGAGTGCCTTTGCGTGGCACACAGAGGACATGGATCTGTACAGCATCAACTACCTGCACTTTGGAGAGCCAAAGTCCTGGTACAGTCACTGACACACCCTTAATGTCCCTCTGCTCTCTTCTCACTGCTTACATGTATTTGTGTAGTTTCTTTCATAAACAGTTGCATTACAAAAGTGCTACACAAACTTTTGGTGATTAGAATCCCAAAGTTAAAGGATATTCTTTTAAACTTTGAAGAATCTTAAAATCTGTTCTAAAGTTGAAAGGCATCAATGAAGTGGCATTAAGACATGGGAGTTCTCATTCTCATTCCAGTAATTAAGCTTGCTTGTAATAAAAGCATTTTAGCATTATATCTGATTGTAACTAAACTGTCTAAAGTACAGGCTAGATACTTTGCAAGGTTATTGGCATCCACATTCTGCTGTTAATATCAAAGTCATTGCCGTAGTAAATATACTTGTGCTTTTGTTTCTTTGCAGGTATATTGTCCCACCAGAGCATGGGAAGAGACTGGAACGACTCGCCAAGGGTAAGTGTTGCGTTTTCACATAAAGTCATACATGGATTATAATGTGTATTACCACACTCGTTATGTGTTATGTGCTGCAGTTTGTGGTGCAAATTGATCATTTACACTAGTTACTCACACTTAGCCACTGTGTGCCACAAGCCACAGCGTGTCATGATGAGTTGTTTCAAAGAGGAAGTCTAATCTGCTTTCAGTAAACCTCTATACCGTGTGGAAAGTACCTTGTTTCACATAAAATACTTCAAATAAACGACAGAACCAGAGAGGGTCGTCTTCACTGATGTTGTGTGTGTTGCGTCTTGTATTTCCAGGTTTCTTCCCAGGGAATGCCCAGAGCTGTGAAGCCTTCCTGCGCCACAAGATGACATTAATTTCACCCTCAATCCTGAAAAAATATGGCATACCATTTGAGAAGGTGATCTTTTATTTACTTTGCGCTGTACATATTTCTTTACAATATGTATACAGTATAACAGCAACATGCTTAACAAACATGCATTTAAACTATGATGATAATGACATGAAAACATTATGTAAAATGGTATATCTGATCTTGTAATTCCGTGTTATTTTTATTATTCAGGTGACTCAGGAGGCTGGGCAGTTTATTGTGACGTTCCCCTTTGGTTATCATGCTGGTTTCAACCATGGCTTCAACTGTGCTGAGTCGACCAACTTTGCCACCCAGCGATGGATCGATTACGGCAAACAGGCGACACTGGTAAGCAAAAAATAAATACAATGTAAACAGCAGTGAATCATAATCTATTACATAAAAACAAAGGCTTCAGCTCCTGTGATGCGGATTGAGGTTCATTATGTCACATTATTTTGTTGAAACATTTTGCTTGCAGGCAGCCTGTCGTTTGTTTCTTTGAAAGCAGTTGGAGGATTGACTTGTTAATCACGTTATCCTGAATAACAGTGTGCTCTTATTTTTTTAAATAAAGAAAAATTGTCTATAGCAATAAAATGCACTGTTGCGATACAGCATGGATTCACTTTGGTTTACTTATGTGGTTTATTGATTTATTAAGGTGATTGGTAGGTGTTCACAGTGGATGTATATAATACACATATTACTATAAGTACTAATTATAAGCTTGTATGACAATGAAACCTTAAAGAAAAACGTTTTCATTGCACAAACAAAGTGAGTTCTGCAAATATAAAAAAATCTAAGTAAAGGGCCTAAGTAACCATTATTTTCTTTTTAAAGTATTTTATTGTGTTATCTGATGGATTAACAGAAAATGAAATTCATGTGCAAACGTTAGATTGACCAGACTTCTATTTCCGGATTGAGGTGACTGCACATAGTCCTTGATCAGAATGTCCTTAGCAAGCGGTCTGCTATCCCTAGAGGTGGTCTTCTATCGAGAAATAGCAGAACATTGAATATCCAAGTTGGGCAATCAAAATGTAGTATTCATCTAAGCAGGGTGTTAAGAGAACACTTTCAACCCCAATAGTGAGTTCAACTGTTTTCAAAGCATTGTTTTGTACCATGTTCTGAACCTTGACTCAAATGTAGATATGTGTGTTCCTCCCAGTGTTCGTGCCGACAGGACATGGTGAAGATCTCCATGGATGTGTTTGTACGCAAATATCAGCCCGACCGTTACAAGCTGTGGAAGGCAGGGAAAGACACCGCTCCCATCGACCACTCCAAAGTCACACCTGAGGCCACTGAGCTTCTGGAACAAGACAACATCGAACCTTCAAAAGAGACTCCCACTCAAGCTGTATTTGAGGATCCCACTAGTCCCATCCTGGAGGAAAAAAGGTCTGCATTTAATCCACCAATTCTACTATTCTACTATGGATGTGAATTACTTATGAAATACCAGATTACTTTCTCAATGGTTCTTTATTTAAAGTATTCTTGGGCATATTTATACAGCAAATCCCATGTTAAGATTTTTGAAATACCTTTTCTGTGTTGTTCCAAAAATCTTGGTCCTTAACTGTGTAGTTGTTAAACTTTTTTTCTAAGCTTAGTTATCATATCTCTGTTAAAATGCACTTCAGCATTATATCAATAAGTACACTGTTTCTGTCTTCAGATCATTTACTTAGGTAAATCTAGTAATACTGTAGTGGCGTAGAAAGTGCAACGTTTTGCCTCCAAAATGTTGTGGAATAGAAGAATAATGTTGCATCAAATGAAGATTGTGTGTGAAAGATTTTTTCTTCACATGCTGTATTGGAAACAGTGCTTCCCCTTGAGTCATAGTGCATAACAGTTTTTTTCCATGCATCAGTCCAAAGCCTCAGACTGGGACAAAGCGTCAGCTAGAAGCTGATAAAGCATCTGCAGATATCAAACCTGAGCTGATGATGGAGGAGACTGAGGAGGTGGAGCCAAAGAAGGCCAAGCTGTCACGCAAGGAGACTCCCACTAAAGTCTCTGTGAAGCCCAATAAAGGTACAGTACAGTTCACTCAGGACAAAGGGCTTTAAGGTCAAACTGCATCTTTACCGACAGCTCATTCTCCTTGCTTCATTTCATTTTTTGTTGTAAAGGATGTAATGACTTGGAAGATACTGAGCCAACGACCTGTGACAGTTTTTTAGGTGGATCTTGGTGTACCAGTAGATGCAATAATGTTGGTCATTTCTATGTTATTCTTTCAGACACAGGAAAAGTCAAGACAGAGCCTAAGAAGGAGAAAGAAGCTAAGCCTCAGATTAAATCTCAATCCAGACCCAGGGCTAAGAAAACTCCCAACAGACAAAGCATTATGAAAAAAGAGAAGAACGGTGTGCCAGCTGCAAACAGCTGTCCATCAGAGCACATTGAGAGCCAGGGGGCGGGTCCCTGCTCTGAGGAGGAGAGTCAGCGGGGGGGCAGCTGCAGCCCGCCACACAAAGCGTTCCAGAGGACGCTGAGCCCCGCGGACGTCCTGCACGTACACAGCTACGCCAAGGGAGACTACGCAGAGGGAGAGCCCCCCCCGAAGGAGGAGAGGACGAGTGAGGATAGTGACAATGAGATTGAGAATGACTACAGAAATGTTTGCAAAGCAGTAAGTTGACAAACTTAACACATGTATTAGCGAAGTATTGTTTACTTTATTGTTAACATTATTTCAAACAATTGGTTTCAAGAGGCGCTTTCACACCAAGTACTTTTCCCAGGAGCTCTTACTTCCTGGAACTCTTATTTTCTGGAACTATCTAGTAAATCGCGTTCACACCGGAATAAGTCCCAGAGGGAGCCGCTGACGTCACTTCTTCTTCTTCTGCTTTGGGTTTACTGGCAGGCCGCAAACAACTTCAAGGCGTATACTGCCACCCGAAGTCCCCGGGCCGGGAGACCCCGCAGTGGCTTCAGCAGAAGCTGCTGGGACTCCCAGCAGCTTCTACTGAAGCCTTCCGAGTAAATCGCCAGAACGCCGACACCTCCTCATCTCCACCGCTCCCATGTTTTTGTTTGTGTTGCCATAAGTTATTCTCTCTCCGTTGGTGCGCTGGGCTAATGCTAATAATGCTAATGCGAGCAAATAAAATGGCGGCTTCCCAAAAACTTTTCAGAGTTTTACAGGGCGTGGTTTGCAATTCGCCCAGCCAATCAGAAATTGGAACCTTTTTCTCCCCAGGAAAGTACCCCCTCTCTAGCAGGCACTAAAAAGGGGGGGGGAAAGGTTCACAAAAAAAAGTTCTAGATCTTTTTGGTGTGAACGCAAAATCCCAGGAACTATCGGAACTATTCCTGGGAAAAGTACTCCGGTGTGAAAGCGCCTAAGGATGCTCAGATCAGTTAGATGCCAGTTAAAACAAAGAAGGAGACGATTAATCTCAGGTCAAATCAGGACACAGTCTTTGATGCTTTAAGACAGAATCACAGAAGTGCAGAAACAAGACACAACAAAAAGACATTGAATATTAACTGTGTGGTAGGTTCTAATGCATTGCCTGTTCATAACAGTCCAATTGCTTGCAATCAGGGGCGCCGTAAGGGGGTGAAAAGTTAGGTCGATTCTAAGGGCCTGTGACTGACAGGGGCCCAAACAATTTTAGAACATTAAGAAAAAAAATGTTAAGTAACCAATGTGATATCTTTTCATGGGGCCCAAAATCCCTGGCGGCGCCCCTGCCTGCAATTGATTGAATCATTGATTCCAGGGAAGTAAAAGATACTTTAGTTGTTACGTGTTTATGTCCCGCATTCAGCAGCAAAAGTCCAGCCTATAAGCATCAGCGGTTAAAGGCTTGTTGTGTAAAACATGCTCTACTTAGTCCAGAGCCCTGAAGGTCCACCCCACTGCTGCACAGGGCAAAAGATAAAAACATACCAGGGTGGTCTTGTGTAAAGCCGGCCTGGATGCTAATGCTAACAGTGGTGTGTCCCTCAGCAGGGGGCCGGAGAGGCAACTGGAGATGAAGAGGAAGAGAATGACCTGGGACAGCTTCCAGGCCACCATCCACTCATAAAGGATGGCATGAGTGATGAAGGTTAGTGGCAAGGCCTCATCTTCATATTGTCTGAGCATTTTATTTGTAGAAATGGGTTAAGCGAATATCCTCAGAGTACTTTTAAATCTTTGTAGTCAAACATTGCTGTTGGGCTTGTTTGTCCCTCAGAGGTTCCAGAGGAGGCCCCCCGGGTAGAGGAGGGTGGTCTGGAGGGGGAGAGCTGGGCTAAACCTCTGGCTCACCTGTGGCAGAACAGACCCCCCAGCCTGAAGAAAGAGAAGGAGTACAACCAGCGCATGGAATCCAAACCTCCATACTGCTCCATTTGCATGCTGTTCTACACATACCAGCAGGTAAGATCCACTCACCGCCAACATTTGGAGCACATCCTATGGAGAGAAAAAGTAAATCAATTCAATATTTATTAGTCTATCACTATTTTTTTACATAACTTTGAAGACATCATTCAGCCCTGCACTTTCAGACAACATTACATTACATGTTATTTAGCTGACGTAGCTATTTTTACATAATTTAAGCACCAACCCAACTTTCATGTAGACCAGTAGGTGTTTTTTTGGTCCATATTCATATTATCTACTGTGTTGTAAGCTCTATGTTTCTGTGCTTGCTGGCAGACGGAATGTGCCAGCATTGTGGACAGTCCCGTCATGGTTCCTGGGGGGGGCATGCGGACCAAACCACTGATCCCAGAGATGTGTTTCACCACCACCACAGAGGAGGACTCTGAGTGTGAGGAGCCGCCCGTAACGCCTCATCTAGAGGAAGACGGAACAAGCCTCCTCATCAGCTGCTCTCAGTGCAGCATCCGGGTTCACACCAGTGAGTACTGCATCTCCACAGTTATATCATATAACGTAGCTTGTGCACACGTGACCCAACCCTGCCGACCTTATTATTATTATTATTCTAATTGTCTCCGTTTTGGTGCATGACCAAATGCTGTCTGTGGATGGCAGCACTAACAAAACGTCATAATGTCTCAGCTATTACACTAGTGTGTCTGACTGAGTCTTTGTGTTTATATATTTTAGGCTGTTACGGTGTGGATCCAGCCAGTGTGAGCAAGGAGTGGAAATGTGCGCGCTGCAAGGCCAACGCCATGAATGAGGTCAGTGAACCAAAACATGTTGCTCAGTTGTTTCCATGGAGCCCTCTTGCTAGTTGTCTAAGTGGCTCTTCACAAATCAAGCATCCCAAATGATGATACACATGTATGAATCAAATCTGCCCTTTTATCAACAAGGCTCACATTGTTTACACTTGAACCTACTTTTTCTCAGTTTCCTCATCTAGTGCTGCCAATATGTTTAACCCTAACCTTAACCCCTTACAGCCCTTGAGATGTGTAATGACATCAAACACGTTGAAGTTTGTGTAAGAGTCCAATAATTAGTGAGGCTGCACTGAGCACATGGGTACATTTTGGAACTGAGGTGCTTTAAATGTAGAGGCTCACTTGTACACGATCACACGTGTCACATGATGAAACAGTAAGTAGAGTAGGAAATGGAGGATCCCTTAGCTCATCTTCAATGGATTGGAAGTAAGCTTAAGAGATGTTTTTTTCGTCTTCGATTAAATTGGATTATTTTAGATATACTATTTTGATCCCAAATTAGGATTGTTTTGTTATAGCAGAATGTTCAGAGGCATTACACATGAGTAAAATTAGTATAAAATACAAATGTAAATATATACATAGAAACAGTAGAAAAATGTATATCTTTAGAGTATCCAATACACAATATGAAAATATACTCTATAATGCAGTGGTCCCCAACCTGGGGGGCGCGCCACCAATCGCATGGGGTGCGCCAGGCCTGAGATGTTTTGAGGCCTAATATAATTTTTAGACTTTCTTTTTTTTTACATATACTGTTATTTTCTGACTATAAGCCGCGCCTTTTTTCCCATTTTTCGACCCTGCGGCTTATATAACGGTGCGGCTAATCTATGGATTTTTACAGCTAACGGCCACTAGGGGACCTCCTAAATCTATGGATTTTACAGGTTACAGTCCACCACCTTTAACTCTATGGGCTCTATGGCCGGTCCGCGCCCCCCACCTTTAAGCGGCGGGCTCCAGCAGGAAAAGCTGGAGGCCGGAAAAGAGTGAGACAGGTAGCGCGCAAAAGTAAAAGTGGAACCGAGAGTGGTACGAGAGACAGAACGAGAGCAAGACAGACAGACATTACGAGAGCGAGACAGTTTGTCCCCGTACCACTGGTTGAAAACCACTGCTGTAGATCACTGTCGGTACGTGCGCTGGGAGCGCACCGTTTAAGTTTGAAAGTTGAAAAGTTTGTGTGTCTGAAACGCTATGTGATACAGTAGAGTTTACACAGCACAGTACATGTTCTGTAGCTACTATTGCACTAAATGGTAACACTTGAATACGTTACGCAAATATGCAACTTGTTTGTTGAAATGTTAATAAATGGGAGCTTCCTCAAACATCTCTTTCCCGACAATCCCCTCTGTGCACGAACCCTTACATATGGTAATTAAACATTAAAACACCTGCGGCTTATAGTCCAGTGCGGCTTATATATGTACACATCATTCAATTTAGCTGCTGCGGCTTATATTCAGGTGCGCCTTATAGTCCAAAAATTACAGTAATTGTTACACAATACATGATTGTCGCTGAAGGCCTTGTCTCTACATTACAATAAAGTATAACAAATAATTGATTAATTAATTTGAATACAAATTCAAGTTAGTAGCTATTAAAGGCATAAAAAGACAGAAATGTTTCTTCTGCCCGTAAAGTGTCCAAACCAGGCTTTTCTGGATAAGCGCATTTTTAAAACATAGTCATTGTCCATGCCGGTTTCAGTTGGATTATTTGTCACAGTTGCTCCTATCAAATCGGTCTCCTCCATTTTGTAGATTATTTATGACTTTTGAATCCACATAAACACATCCAGCTTACTTTGAGCATGTGTTTTAAACAGTTTAATCCCTTTGTGAATTGTTTCCACTTGCGCCGTCCTTTAATTTCTTCATACAGTGTGTGTTGGGGGGGGGAGGGCGGGTGGCAACTTCCAACAGGAGTCATTTGGGGGGGGCTCTCTGGGGAAAAGGTTGGGAACCCCTGCTCTAATGGACTGAATCTTCTACAAATAGAAACAAAAACATAAATATAGGATTCTATATACATTATTAAAGTTGAGTTTTTTTTGTTTATTTGATTTAAATGTCAATCCCTCAGGTTCAGTTTAGGGACAGAGGCTGCCATGGTTACAGGATTCTTTGATGTATTACCTCCTCAACAAGGTCTAAATAAGCTGCGGCTCATGTTGCTGCTGGCAACAGAAACCCCGCGTTAAACACAACATTTAGGAGTCTGACAACAATAATTGTTTACTACTCTCTTGAGTTTTGGATTGAAGCTACAATGCTGAAAAGATCAGGGCTCTATGGTTAGCAATCGATTGATGACATGGTCTTTTTGCAGAATTGCTGTTTGTGTTCGCTGAGAGGTGGAGCCTTGCAGAAAGCCAACAACAACAAGTAAGTTGTCAAGATGGGTGAAGTACAGCTAGTTTTAAACATCTACACTTTGATAATGTTTTTCTCAAGCAGGTCTAAGATATTTAAACCACTTAACAGCCAACAACATAGGACTTCTGAGTCAAAAATATGAATCGTGTAGGGACGCACGTTGATAGGTTACCAACGTTGCAGGATTTAACACGGTAGCACATTGACCACTTCAAGAAACGCCAACAATGATCAAAAATGTTCTAAGATGAAAAAGGTTTTTGTGAAAATGCATACAGTTTTCTTACAATGCCACATATCTAAAGAACCATTAACAATATGTGCGCATATTTTGGTTTGTTGCAGGTGGGTACATGTGCTGTGTACAGTTGCTGTGCTGGAGGCACGCTTTGTCAACATCACTGAAAGAAGTCCTGTGGATTTAAGTGGAATCCCTTTGCAGAGATTTAAACTGGTGAGTTCAAATAACGTCAGCATTGTAATGCAAAAGCTACCGTTACATTCTCAATTGAAAGCTGGTATTCAAATAATAAGCAGCTCAGATAATTGAAGTCTGATTGCTAAACAAGCCGTGGAGGAGTAATGACCTGTTCTCTAGTAGTTCACACAGTAGATCAAAGATATGTACATTTCGCCTTAATTGAATCATTTCGAATCCATTGCAGTTTCCTCAGCCTTGGCTCCTGTGTTTTAATCTCTGACAGAAGTGCTACTACTGTAAGAAGCGGATGAAGAAGGCTTCTGGCTGCTGTGTGCAGTGCTCTCATGGCCGCTGCCCCACAGCCTACCACCCCACCTGTGCCCAGGCTGCAGGAGTGCTCATGCAGCCCGATGAATGGCCCTTTGTAGTCCACGTTACCTGCTGTCGACACAAAGGGCCCACTCAGATTGAGGTAAGGAGCTTCTGATGTCTCTTTTTCTTTAAAGGTAGAATAGATTCAAATGTTCTAATCAAAATTCCTTAAAACGACTTGACCGATGTTGTATATTTAGTTGAGTTGTGTACATTATCCCAAATGTATCAGAGAAATCTGTTATTCAGTACAGTGAGTTTAATTTGGTCTCCTGGATTGGCGTCGTATCCCCTTTTAAGTGTCAGCATCAACGTTTAAGAAGGTCATGATTAAAAAAATTACTAATCAAGTGTCAAACAGGGATGTTGATTTAGCTACAAAAAAAAAAAAGTGCTGATATACAAGTATGTCTTTTCCAATGTAAAGTTAGTCGATGCGTAAAAAGTATTTTCAGGGCCAATGACGTCACAGACTGACATGGTAGTACCACGGTTTGGCTTCAATGCCCAGCCCACTTCCTGGGGGTTTGAGCTGACCAAAAGGATGCATTCCCATGATCCCATGTTGCTTCACAAACTACCACATAACATCTGTGTTACTGTTTTGATGGAGATAACCCTAGCCCATAACCCATTTCACCCTTTGTTTCCCTTTTTGTACAGTGCAGTGTAACCAAATGTCAGGTACTACAAAAATAGCATCAACATAAGCCATTCATAAATATGTGTTTTCTTAAATCTTCTCTTACAGCGCAATAAAGCAGCCATGCATGAGCTGACGGTGGGACAGAAGGTGATCTGCAAGCACAAGAACGGCCGCTACTACCAGTGTGACGTGGTGCAGCTGACTAAAGAGACCTTCTACGAAGTCAACTTTGACGATGGTTCCTTCAGTGACAATCTCTTCCCCCAAGACATCGTGGTAAGTCTCACTAACTCATCTTTATCTTGTCAACGCTTCAACTCTAAAAGGACTTACAGGGAGTAGAAATCTGGATATTCTTTTTTAAAGAACATCCAATCTGTTATTATGAACGTTGGTATGTTTTTACCTATAGCGCAGATTGTTGCCCTTTTAGATATGCATGTTAAACTTTGAGTTTTTCTTCTGGACATTATTTATTGTACTGCAGTGACTTTAATGTGTAGCTTTGTGTTGATATCATAGAGAGCTGTGTTTCCAATGTAAGACATGAGATGATGTGTGATTGCAAATGCTCAGAACTCTGTGTTTGGTTTTTCAGAACCGAGACTGTGCTCAGCTTGGGCCCCCCCCTCAGGGTGAGGAGGTTAAGGTGCGATGGACAGACGGCCTGGTGTATGGGGCCAAATTTGTGGCATCACGTGCCATCTACATGTACCTGGTAAGATGGTGTTATTGTGTTTTGTTGGTTTTTTGTCACATCACAAAGCTTGAATTGCTGTTATTAAGTCAAACTTAACTACAGACTCACAATTGTAACATGTAGAATATAGTTGCCAGCACAAAACAGTCTTCATCTTACAAATGATTCTACCATAGAGGTGCATGTTTGTTTTATATAAGGGATGCTGTCCATTTGAACGTGGCCTTAAGGCTATGTTCTATAACAATTAATAAAAGATCTGGATCCAACAGAGGACAAAGACTAAGCATGTAGTGTTTGTGAATAAAAACGAAAAACAGAGACTGAGAGACATACCAAGCTAAGAAAAGATGATGGATGACATCATGTGTCATAAAGGAACTTCCTATCTTTCACAGTGGTTCGGTTGATAGGTGAGCGGTTCATGTCCTTCAATGTGAATTAAAATATTCATCAAACAGAGGACTCATGGAACACAGACAGTTAGATTTGACATAAAACAAATATATATATACTTATTTATTGCAGTTAGTGATAATTTACTATAGAAAAGTCTAACGAATCAAGGATCGAAGAGATGATCGGTGTGATCTTTCCACAGTTGGAGAGTTGTCCTACCTGTCATGTAATCGGTTATTGAATTGACTGGATCGGATTGAACGTGCTTCTTTCTAAGATGTTGACATGACCAGGTGCATCAGCTGCAGCATTGGACTGTGAGCAGTGTTTGAGACACACTTTGGAGCTGCTTTCAGTGCTGAATGCATTGTGAATGACTCTAAAAGTGAAGCCCGGCCTGCCTCTTACTTTATTGAGTGCTCCCAACCCAGGCAAGATGTATTTTAAGCCTCTGAATGTCTCCTGAAACTGCCCCTGTACCTCCTGTCTTTGGAATGCCCTGTGCAAGCAGAATCACTGCAGTGTTTAAAGGGACCGGAGGCTGCTCACACTTCACACCTAATATGTTACTTTCCTCAAAAGAGAGGAGGAGTGTTGGCATTTTCTGTAGGCCAACCTGGAAGTTAACATCGTATATTGTATTTCAGAATATTGCAGAAAATAAGAGCTGTGCTAAACACACATTTATGAGACTTAAATGTTTTGTTCAGCAGGAATAATCTCCAAATATTAGAAGAAGCTAACTTCAAATTACATCAGTCGCATGGCTGTGCATCACCACCACTAAGCTAAAGGTGGTCATGTTCTGTCAGAAGCTGCTTGTATCGAAGCTTTGAACATTCACAATTGGGGATTTTACCCGTCTCACCAAAACATGTTTAAAAAAACTTTGATTTTGAAATAAGGGAGTCGGAAGTAGTAAACTGAGACATGTCTCCATGCTTTGATGTTCAAAAAGCTCTTTATTTTTCTCATACTGCCTGTTCTGCAGCACCTCTTTTCCCCCTCTGTCTGAAACCAGAGCCCAGTCTGCTCTGATTGGTTAGCTGGCCGGCTCTGTTGTGATTGGTCAACCACTTTGATATGTGTCGGAAACGTCCCGCCCCTTAGCCAATCACGTACAATGTGTTGGAGCGCCAGCCAATAGAAGCGCAAGTACATAGTGATGTCAATATGTTAGGGAAGTAAACAAAGGATTCAAATGAAGTAGGGGGGAGTGTGTGGGAGAGAAACTACCTCTGGAGAGAACTTTGGGATTTTAGCCTTTGCAGACCATTTACATACACACAAACCTATAGAACACTACAGGAGAGGGAAAACCCCAAAAAGCATAATAGGGCCATTTCATTGTATTGCTTTTCTAGCAGTTAGACTCATGATTATCTATACAAATAGGTGTTTAGTGTTCTCTCCTTATCTTTACTTATTATCGTTTTTCATTACATGTGGTTGGAAGGAGATATTTGACATAAATGGGCATGAATATGACATTTCTCTGACTGCATTTTGGGCTGTAGGTCGAATTTGAGGATGGGTCTCAGCTAACGGCAAAGAGAGACGACGTCTATGCTCTGGATGAAGAACTCCCAAAGAGAGTCAAGTCAAGACTGGTGAGTGCTACCCAAAGAACACACACACACACACACACACACACACACACACACACACACACACACAC